TCTGGGCAGCAGAAAGGGCGTAAACTTGCCAGGTGTCGAGGTTGACCTGCCTGGGCTGTCTGAGCAAGACGCCTTGGACCTGCGCTTCGGGGTGGAGCATGGTGTGGACATCGTCTTTGCCTCCTTTGTGCGGAAAGCTAGCGATGTGACCGCAGTTCGGGCTGCCCTGGGGCCGGAGGGACAGAGCATCAAAATCATCAGCAAAATCGAGAACCACGAAGGCGTGAAGAAGTGAGGCTAGGTCATTGTCCCCATTAGGCACTATGGGGACAGACCACTCCCCCTACTTCTCTTCTTTTGCTCGCTTCTCCATGGCATCTCCTGGTTCTGCTGCAGCCCTGATTCCTCCAACCACCCAGGTTTGATGAAATCCTGGAGGTGAGCGATGGTATCATGGTAGCACGGGGAGATCTGGGCATCGAAATCCCAGCTGAGAAGGTTTTCCTGGCTCAGAAGATGATGATTGGGCGGTGCAACTTGGCAGGCAAGCCCGTCGTCTGCGCCACTCAGGTCTGGAGTGATCCTTGGGGCTGGGACACTTTGTGGTCTTGGGATCACTGAGGGTGAATATCCACATCTTAGGTCTTTGGACACTGCCATCCAGTGTTTGATCCTCAGATAGTGAAGTTAAGTAGAGATATTGTGACCCTCCTTTTCAGTTGAGGAAACTGAACTGCCAGGGTCACACAGCTTGTGACTGTGATCCTGATTTTCAGGGCACTCTGGGAGTTTAGGTGTCAGAGAAGTAGCTTGTCAAAGACTCCAGTGTGAGTGTGCTTCCTACAGCTCTGACATCCATGGTGTCCCCAGATGCTGGAGAGCATGATCACTAAGCCCCGGCCAACACGGGCCGAGACCAGCGATGTGGCCAATGCTGTACTGGATGGGGCAGACTGCATCATGCTGTCAGGGGAGACTGCCAAAGGCCACTTCCCCGTGGAGGCCGTAATGATGCAGCACGCGGTAGGAACTCATAAGGAAAGGCCAATGGCCTGGGGACCCAAACCCTTTTTGGGCCCCATTGTCCCTTGCCAGCCTGACCTTCTGGTACCTGTAGATTGCACGGGAGGCCGAGGCCGCGGTGTACCACCGGCAGTTGTTTGAGGAGCTGCGCAGGGCGGCACCACTGAGCCGTGACCCCACTGAGGTGACTGCCATCGGGGCTGTGGAGGCCGCTTTCAAGTGCTGTGCTGCTGCCATCATTGTTCTGACCACTACTGGCCGGTGAGGGGGACACTGGGAAGCCCAGACAGGGCGTTGGGTTAAGGGTAGGCTGGACTGGGCCATGGACCTGAGTGTTGTCTGGCCATCAGGGATGAAGGGCAAGAAGAGAGACGGCTGTGAGGTCTAGAGGCRAGGGGGGAGGGCAGATCTTGGAGTGTACCAGGACTCAGGTCATCTAGTTCCAGAGGACTGGCAGGATGGCATCCCTGAGCATGTTGGCTTCAGGGCATTTGGGTTCCTAGGTCTCCGAGGCAAGTCCATTTAGCCTGTAGAGCCTTACAATTCTGAAGTGTTGCAGATGGGCAGTGGGTCTGAGTTCAAGTCTTTGTTCTGAATCTTAGCAATGAGACCATGGGAAACCCACCTGGACTCTATAGCCCTGCTCCGTACCCTCAGGTCTATGTCAGCCACTGTTTCTCATGGAGTTTTGAGGATTAGCAAGAGACATTAAGTACTATATAAATGCATACTCTCTGAATGGCTTTATGGTTTTTAAAGAGGTTTCTCTTTATCATATCTTTTGGTAGATTCTTATTCTGTGGTAGGATCTTGGCACCTGGCAGGACCTTGGCCAGGGAGTGCCCTTGTCAAGGGCTTTGAGTCACTTTTTACAGAGGAGAAAATCAAGGCCCAGAGAAGTGTGATGACTTCCTCAGGGTCACACAGCTTCCTGGTGACACCTAGAACCACAATTCAAACTTGTCTCCTATTTCAACCCTCTCTTGCTCTTTTTTTTTAATATTTATTTTTAAGTTATAGTTGGACACAACACCTTTTATTTATTTATTTTTATGGGGTGCTGAGGATGGAACCCAGCATCTCACACATGCTAGGCGAGTGCTCTACCGCTGAGCCCCAGCCCCAGCCCCTCTTGCTCTTCTTCAGCTCGGCCCAGCTTCTGTCTCGGTACCGACCTCGAGCCCCAGTCATTGCTGTCACCCGCTCCGCCCAGGCTGCCCGCCAGGTCAACCTATGCCGAGGAGTCTTCCCCTTGCTCTACAGAGAACCTCCAGAGGCCATCTGGGCAGACGATGTGGATCGCCGGGTCCAATTTGGCATTCAGAGTGGTGAGCTGCCAGACCTCCCTCCCTCCCTCCTCTGGCATTTGTACCCGGAGTCCCTCAACCTGGCCTCACACACCACTCAAAAAAGCCCTACCCCTCTCCTTCGATTCCAGATTGTCCTTATAAGAGTCACTAAGATTGAGGAGTAGCTGGAATGCTGGGGGTAGGGGTCAAGCTGAGAGAGAGGGCAGAGCCATCCTTAAGTCATCCAGCTGCTGTCTGTGCCGGGTGGCTGGAGCCCAGTATGACATAGGAGCAAGAGGAGAGAGGAGAAAGCTCGACAGCTGGAATGAAAATCGAATTGACAATTGTCATATGATCCTACTTGACCTCTTTGGGCAGCCTTGCTACTTAGCAACCATGCACCACCTCCCCCCATTGACACTGCACAGCTTTAAAACGCCACAGTGGTTACATTCCCTGCGGTGCCAACAGTTTGCTTCAAGTGCCTCAATTCCTACAGGGTAGCCTTGAAGGGGGTTGGGGATGGTTGCTGATTCTTATTACCAGGCTGGTCTAGGCCTCTCAATGAATATCATCTTCTTTCCCTTCCCCAGGAAAGCTCCGTGGTTTTCTTCGTACTGGGGACCTGGTGATTGTGGTGACAGGCTGGCGACCTGGCTCTGGCTATACCAACATCATGCGAGTGCTGAGCATATCCTGAGATGCTCCTTCCCGCTCCGATCCAGTCCAACCCTTCCTCCCCACACTGCTCCCTCCAACCCACAACCCATCCACGGCCTCATTTCCCAGTCTCTCTACGCCCATATCCCTGTCCAAGATCACATCTGCCATCTAGCCTGATTGCGGGGTGTCCCCGCCTGCATTTCAGACAGGCCCTGAAAATCTGTGTCCAATTATGCACTGGCCACCCAGCAGCACCAATTGTATATTCCCCACATCCAATCTGCTCAGCCAGGCTCTAAGATGCCCTGAGCCTTTAAACCCAGCTTGGCTGCTTAATTCTATTCTTTCACGTTTCTCATCCCTGGGGTTGGGGAGCAGAGACAGGGTGATCTTGTCTAGTCTCCACTGAACTACTATTTTAAAACACTGCATATCCGTGCAGTCTGATGTTTTTCTATGTGGCCCTCACAATCAGCAGGGCATCTCCTGAGGAGAGTGACACCTCCCACTCCAGCCGGGGCAAGCTACCCCTTCATGGTGGCAGACAGTAACATCAGGGGGCCACACTTGGGGGAAGCTGGATGATCTCATCACTGACTTCACAGCCTTGAGGCTGAGCTTGCAGACTGTCTCCCCCTGGCTGCTCTCATGGCCACCTCATTGCTTTGCTGGGCCACATGCCCCCTCCTGCACCTAGAAATTCCCTCATACCCACTTTAGTCCCACACACAAACCAAGAGCCAAAATAAGTGTCTCTATTTTCTTTTAAACCCAGCTATTTAGCAGCAATTATAAAACTTCTCCCACACACCAAGAACCCCAGAACTCCCCACCCAGGAGGAAAGGAGATTTAGGGTCCTGGCCCCACATTCTTTGATACTGCAGAGTAGGAGAGGGGACAGAGTGGGTGGGTAAGGGGTTACTCTTGTCCCTGAGAAGGTAGAGGGGCTGGCTGGCTGCTCTTCCCCAGGCTTGGATACTGTGGGGCCCTCCTTACTCCTGCACCAACAGCAGACCCAGAAGAGAAAATAACAAAGATAAAAATAGTCCCCTCCCCCTCTTGGGTGGCCCCACCTGCCTTTACCTAGGTAGGGAGAGGGTTTGATATTGCTGATGGCACTGCACAAGGACCACAAGAGTTGGTGTAGAATGGTCCTGCCTCCTCCTGCTCCTCCCATCTCCCTCCCAGGAGAGGGGGGAAGGACAGATAAAGGATAAAATGAATCGATAAGTCAAATTAGCAAATGAATAAATAAAATTAATAAATAACTGAATAAATAAGACAAATAAAAAAGGAAAGAAGAGATCACATAAGGATTCGGATACTTGCCCCCTACCAAGGTGGATCTAGGCTAGCACAGTAAGGAGGTGACAATTATCCCTTAGTTTAAGGGGGGGTACGCCACTGGGGCAGGAGGCACAGGGAAGAGGCAGCTCCCAGTTTACAAAAATAACTCTACCACATGGACAGAGATCGCAGGGAACTGGGTAGATGTGTGTTCCCACTTAGAGGACATTATCTGGGTGGGTCCACAGGTGGCAGTAAGAGGGCAAAGGTAGATGCCCACACTAAGGATTCAAGACATTCATTGGCAGCAGTGAGGGCACAGGTAATTGATAGTGCCCAGCTATGCTAAGGGGACAGGAAGATAACCACACGGGGCAGAACCTGCAGGGTCATTGGCAGGGAAACAGAGATATCTAATTACTTGGCAGTGATGGTGATGGCAAGCACTTGTGCTTAATAAAGGTGGGGTCATGGATCCAGGCCTGCACCTGGCAGGACCTTGGCCAGGGAGTGCCCTTGTCAAAGGGCTTTGAGTCACTTCTACTTGGCAGTGGAGACATACAGCGCCTGGCACAGTGCCTTGAGCATGGTAGGCACTCGGTACATAGGACAAATGGATGAATGCGTTAGGATGTTAGACAGGCTGTGGATGCTCGAGCTGAGGACGCAGACTATCTTCATGGTGATAAGGACAGACATTCCCATAGGCAGTGTTTTGGGTCCTCTTGGCCTTCCCCGGGAGGCATCTGCCATTGGGCACACACTATTGCACCCCAATAGCTAAGGCCTGTGTAACCAAAGGTTTCACATGTTGGCAGAGAGCTGGGGGCCCCGGGGCGTGGCTGGCTCAGGCACTGGTGGCCTGGGGGACTGGGCTGTCCCTGGAGGCTTGGCTAGGAGGCCTGAGGGGGGCAGCCGCTCACTTCCAGAGCCCTTCCGCCCAGGAGAGCCATCGCCTGTTGCCCGCTGAGGCAAAGAGGGTTGGGAGGCTGAGAGTGGGCGGCCCCGAGGTCCTAACCGCCGGCTACCTCCTCCTGGTGGAGGGCCCAGCAGGGACACCTGGGAGCGCCCTGCCCTGGATAGGCTGGCATGGAGGGTTCGAACTGGTGGGGCAGGCAAGCGGGAGGTGGATGCCCATGGCCCCCGAGCCAGCAGAGGGCCGCCTCGGACAGGCACCAGTGGGGAAGCTGGGGAGCCTGCTGAGAGTCGAGCAGAGCGAGCAAGGAGGGTGGCTGGAGAATCTGGGGAGAGAGGCAGGGGGCCCCGCTGGTGAGTCAGAGCAATGGCCACATTGGAGGTCACAGCAGCTGCCTGTAGAGGGGCATGCACAAGCGGTTCCCACAGCACTGGCTTCCCACTGAGCCGAGCTCCGGTGCCTGGAGCCAGACCCCGGACTCCCCGAGCCATGTCCCTGTCGTGTTGCACCAAATGCTGCTCCATGATACCGCCACTGCTGCCTGGGCTTGGCTCGGAGCGCTTCCGTTGCAGTATGGAATTCTTCTTGCCTAGAAGTTGTCCCAGGAAGGTGGAGTTAATAATAGGGAAAGAATCCAAGATAGAGGTTATGCAAGATAGAGGGATGCCAGAGAATGTGAAGGTAACCACTGTCAGGGATGGGGTTGGGGTTGAGGGTATGGAGATAGTGCTGGGGGATGGAGATCGGAAGATGGGGTTGGAAGAAGAGGTTGTGAATCAGAATTGGTGAGGTTCAGGGACTGGTGCTCAGTTGGAGGGCTCAGGGCATGGAGACTCAGGGGGATGCTTTCAGGGGTAGGACACACTGAGGGATAAGGACAGTGATCCACAGCATTGAAAGGCCTGTTGGGGGCATTTGCTGGGATTGGGTGAGCTGGGTGTGGCCCTGAAGCACTAGAGACTGTTTCTTGCTATAGAGATGGGGTTAGGCACAGCTGGGATCCAGGGGAGACAGATCTCACCTATGCGGCGCAGCCGATCCATTGCCACGGTCTCAAAAGCCCTGCGCATCATAGGAAACTCCTCAAGCACTGCATTGAAGTGGTCCACACTAAGTGAGTAGAGTCGGCAGTAGGTGTCGGCCCGCACACTGGCTGTGCGCCGGCCCCGGGTCAACAGGCAGATCTCTGCAGAAGTAGGAAGAAGGCTCAGAACCCATTTCCAGAGCTCCCTCTCACTGGGACTGCACCAGCTGACCCAGAAGTCTCAGGATTCTCCCTAGACTTGGGAGAAACTAAAGCTTTTCCCCACCCCTCGGTCCTTAAATGCTCCAAACATGTCTCTCTCCAGACCTGTAAACAAATTTCTGGATGCCTGCTTCCTGTCTTTCTCACTCTGCTTTTTTCCTTTCCTTTTTCTTTTTTTTCTCCCCAGCACTAGGGATGAGACCAGAGGTACTCCCTACCACTGAGTTAGAGCCCCAGCCCAGACCCCTGCACTTTTTTTTTTTTTCAGACAGGGTCTTGCTAAGTTGCCCAGGCTGGTTTTGAACTTGCAATCCTCTCACCCTAGCCTCCTGAGCAGCTGACATTACAGGCATACACTACCATGCGCGGTCACTCTCTCAAAGCTGACAAACAGGCAGATCTGGCTGGCCTCCAGACTCCTACTTTAATGCCCAGCCCAGCCTCACTGCTCTACCCCAGGAGGAGACCTGGGGCAGCTCACTCCTCCAACCTCTTGAATAAACACTAAGGGTTACCTTGGAGGATAAAAATAATGCTACAGGAGTCGAGTGTAACAGATGGGGGTGCTGGGGGATGGTGGGTGTTTTGGGGGCTGAGAGGTTATATGAGTCTCAAGTCCCTTTTTGGGACGCTGGTAGAACTGCCCCTACTGCCACAGGCTGGGTCCCTGAATCCTAATACCAGGGCATCTCCACAAAGTTCAAATGCCCAGGGAAGCTCTGCTTCATTCCTATTTTCCCCTCAACTCATAGGATTCTTGGATTCACTGGCTAAGAGTCTTAAAAAGCCCTCTGTCTCAATAATTTGTGACCTGACTATGCACTGGAAACTCCTGAGAAGCTTTAAAAAAATACAGCTCCCCCCACCCCCAGGCCCCAAGCCTAGAGATTCTAAGCATGCTGGGAAGGGACTGGAACCCTGGTTGTACAGCACAGCCAGAGGGGATCCTGATCCCAGGGAGCATTTGCCCAGTCTCCGGTGTTTGTGATCCACCCTCCTCCCTCCTTGAGATCTGCTAACCCCCAAAGTAGGATCCATCAGTGAGGCGGGTGTCCCGGGCACCACGTGCCAGCACACTGAGCAGCCCGTGCTGGATGAAGTACATCTTCCTGCCCACGGAGCCCTCACGCACCACAAGGTCCCCCGGCTGGAAGACCTCAAAGCGTAGCTTGGTGAGCACCGCGGTGACGAAGCTGGGGTCAGCATGGGCGAACAGTGGCATATGGGCCACCAGGCCTCGGCAGGTGAAATTAATGATCTCCTGGGCAGGGGAGGGGCCTGTCAGGTAGGCTGTGCCGCCTGCCCTAAGATTCCTCCAATGAGCTGTCTCCAGAAACCCCACCCTGGGGTCAAGATCTGCCAGAGGATGGGGATGCTACAGTGGGCCTGGGACCATTCCTAAGCTCCTGTCTTCAAAGCCCTCCCACGGGCCTGGGTGGAACCATCTCCCCAAAACAGAAATCCCTATAGCCCCACCCATGCATATATCACCCATAAGGCCTTCAAGAAAGTCTCTTAACTCCATAAGGCCCCCCACATACCTGACCTCCCAGGGGGCCCTCTACAGGCCTTACTCCCTATAAGAGTACCTACTGATCAGTTCCTCCTGCCCTGAGAAACAGCACCCCCAGAAACCCAGATCCTTGAAGAGCCCCCGTCAAGGGCCCAGCCCGGCCCCACCTCCCGCAGTGGTTCGCTCAGCTCGCCCAGGATGCTCTCCTCGTCGAACATCTTGCCCTGGTAGCGGTGCTCATAGTACTCATGGATGCGCTGCCGGGTGTCAGCCGGCAGCTTGTGGAAGGACATGTACTGCTCCACCTGCTTATACTGGAGGGCCGACCCATGGCCAGCAGGAGGAGGATACAGAGAGACATGGGTGGGGGTGGCAGGTTACAGACATAGATCAGAGTTAGAGGTGAAACATGGAGCCCGATGTGGATACACAGGACCACAAGATATATGGATAATGGTGGATATGGAGAGGACACATAGCGCAGTGACAGGAAAAACCAGAAATGGGTAGAGGGGCAGGGCCCAAGGGCAGAAGTAGAGGACAAATGGACATGGGTCAGGGAAGGACACAAGAGACCCAACATGGCATACACCAGAATGGGCCTCAAGTCGAGCTACCCAGTCTCCAGCACCTCTCCACACCAACCCCTTCCCTCTCCGATCCATGCTGACCTTCTCCTGATACTGACGCCTCGAAGAATCCAGGGACTGGATGAGGGCAGTGGCGTGACCGATGAACATGGCGTAGCAYGTAGCGCCCACGATCATGCTGAGCATGGTGAGCCAGACGTCGGGCATGCCCACGGGAGCCTGCTGCCCATAGCCAATGCACAGCATGTGGCTCATGGCCTTGAACAGGGCATGGGAGTACTGGCGGCCCCACGAGTGGTTCTGGGGGGCAGAGTACATTGCAGAGCTAGGCATGGCCCCTCAGAGCCTCATTCTCCACCTTCCCCTTTTTCTCTCTTTGAGTCCTCTGCCTGCCCCTTCTACTTCAGACCATCCTCCCAGGAGACACTTGTTTCACTCTGGGGTCCCTGAAGCAAAAAAGCCCTCTTTACAGCTGGGGGGCCTTTTTCTGCTTAGGTTCCATTCCCCGCCTACCCCCTCCAACACACAGACAGTTCCTCTGGGTCTCTGTCCCCCTCCCCCTCCTCCCCACCTCTTCCAGTCTTCTTTCTTGATTATCCCCCACCTCCTGCTCCCTGAGGCCATCCCTGCTGCTCAGCCAGAAGAGCCCTCAGAAGGCCCAGGGGCAGCAGAGCCGGGGGACTTCTCACCACCATGCGGTTCATAGAAACCCAGCAGTCAGGAGGGAAGTCCTGCAGCATGGGGACCAGGAACTGCAGACAGCCATCCCAGTGACAGAGCAGGAGCATCATCCCAATGAGGTTGAAGATACGAACCACAGCGCTGGCCAGGTCATAGGTCATGTGAAAGATCTGAGGAGTCCGAGGAGGGGCTGCTGTGGACAGGAACCCCTCCCTGCTGGTCCTTCTCCAGTCCCAGCCTTGCAAATTATCTTTGAACTTCTCCCTTGCCCCCGCCTCCCTGAATTTAAAAAAAACATGGAGAGTGTTTGTGTGGAGTTTCTAGCACACATATATAGCTCATATAAATTAGATCGTGCTTCCCTACTCTCATAGGTAGGAAGATTAAGGCCAATCATGTGCCCTGAATCACACTGTAAGTGTCCCAGTAGAGACTCAAACAGGTCTACTGCACAAGCTGCCCAGGCGTGGCCTGAAAAAGAGGGCAGGGGGCATTTCACAATGTAATGTCCCTAGGCATGGATGGAAGGATTAATGCCAGCAGCCCTTTTCCCCTCCAACAACAGAAACAACAGTTAATTCACTCGGAACTTACTAGGCACCAGATGCCTAAGTGCTTTACATGTATTAACTCCTTTAATCTTTCCAACCACACCATAGGTACATATATTAAATAATAAAACTAGGATCTGACCACAGGACACGAAGTTGCAGAGACCACACTCTGAACCACTAATCTGCTGTCCTGAAGCCGCAGCTCCTGACTCCTCCCACCCCCTCTTCACCCTGGGATCAACTAACCCTGAAGTGTTTGTCCAGCTGCTGAGTGAGCTCCACTCTCCTGCCCCAACAATCTGCCCCAGGCCTCATCCCCTGAATCCTTTTTCTGTACCTGTTTCACCCCCATCAACTTTGGAATGAACTCAACCACGCTTCACTTATAAAGTCACCAGGAGCCCCACCCACAGAGCCTTCCCTAAGGGCTCTGCGAGCCCCCCTGCCCACCTCCCCACCCCACCTCCTCCCACTGGTGAATGTAGCGGATGAGGCGGGAGAGGCGGAGCAGCCGCAGCAGGCTGAGGATCTTGGTGAACCGAACGATGCGCAGGGCGCGCGCCGTCTTGTAGACCTCAGCGTCCAGCCGTGGCTCCAGTTCCACCACCAAGAAAATGTAATCCACGGGGATGGAAGATATGAGGTCAACCAGGAACCAGGTGCGGAGGTAGCGCGTGCGGATGGCCCGCGGTGCCAGAAGGATCTCTGCGCCTTCCTCTACCACGATGCCGGTGCGGAAGTTGAGTACCAGATCCAGCAGGAAGAAAGTATCAGAAAGGACATTGAAGACAATCCAGGGAGGGGAGTTCTCCTCCTTGAAGAAGGTGATGCCCACAGGAAGTACGATGAGGTTCCCCACCATCAGCAGCAGCATGATCAAGTCCCAGTAAAACCTAAGGAGGGAGCCGGATAGGGAGGAAGACCACGATATTTTACCAGCCAGTAGAATGACAGAAGATACTGTGACTCCCCACCAACGTGGGCAAGAACACAGAATAACGGAATGAGTATAATAACATAAGGATAATATGGCATGAGTCCACTTACACATTAATAGCCGCTGGGAATGAGAACTGGAACCGCTATTTAGGAAACTGTGCCGCATTATCTAGTAAAGTTGAATAGTTGCATTCCCAGAAACCCAGCAATTCCATTCCTAGATATGTACACACCAGAGGGAAACAAGCACTCCAGCAATATATATAGGAATATTTATAACAGAATTAAACTTGGGAACAACCCAAATATTCATAAGTAGAAAGTATAGATAAAAAAGACATGAAGATAAATACTCTGTGATACATGACATATTCATAGTCTGGAATACTACATGGCTGTGAAATTACCCAATTACAGCTACATCTGCAGTAAGGATGAAGCTCACAAATTTCATAATGGGAAAAAAAAACATAAGGATAATATGGGATGAGTGCACTTACACAGAGTTTAAAAAAAGGCAAAACTAAATTACATTCATTATTTCTTACTATTTTTAAAAGTAATAAAATGAGTACCACAAAACTTAGAATATGGGGTTGGGGATAGCTCCGCAGTAGAGTGTGTGCTTAGCATGCTTGAGGCCCTGGGCTCAATCCCCACCATCAATCAATAAATAAATAGATGATAAGAATAGTGAGTTTGGGAAATGAATATGAGAACACTTAGCTGAACATTTAGTGGATACTCTCATATTTATGGGTTTGGGAAAGAGATATGAGAGAACTTCTGTGGCACTGGCAATATGCAACCTCTTAACCTAGACAGCTATTACATGACATGTGTGTGTGTGTGTGTGTGTGTGTGTGTGTGTATCATCCCTACTATATAAGACCTATGTCACCACTTTTAACTATTCTAAAGGTTAAAAAAGAAAGATAAAGTACTCCGATCCCACAGGGTTGTTGAAAAAATTTCCACTGAAACAATGGATGTGACAGTGCTATACAAGCACTAGCTGGTGTTATGACTCACCCACCCTTTATCCCCAGCTTTCTGAAAAGGTTGTTGCTTCTCCCATCTCCAGCTTTCTGCCCATTCCTAGTCTAGGACCCCACACTCTCCTCAGCCGTCCCCACCCTGTTCCTCCTCCCCAGCACAGTTGGACCTGTGAATCCTGTTTGTCTACGGGGATCTGCTCATCTGTGTTCCAGGGGAGTCTGGTCTGTCCTGCCCCCGTTGACCTGAGCATTCCAGAGATGCCCCTCCCTAGTGCCTCCACTGCATCTCATAGGTCTGCTCATACAGAGGAACTTCATGGGCAATCCGAGGCAGCAAGGCTTGAGTTCTGCACTCCCTACTCTCTCTAACCTTCCTGTGCCCAGGCAAGGATATGGGCTAGGGAGAGCCACACTGCTATGGCAGACGCTTTAGAAATAAGAGGTTGGGAGGGAGCTGAGAGAAGCCTTCACTCAGATAAAATCACTGGATAATCTGAGGCACTCAATTACCAATGGTGGTTTTAATTCTAGGACACATCTAATCCCAGTATAAACCCAGGGCACAGTGCCTTCCGAGTCTGACTGAAAAACCAATCCTCCCAGCCCCTGAAAGGTGCTTGGGGGTTCCCCGTACCGGCCTTCAGGAAACCCCTCAGATTGTGTGCTTTTGTTCAACAACAAATCCTTGATCCCTCTTTCCCTCTCTCCTGGGCTGCTGAGGATAAATCCTGTACTGTGAGATTCTGGGAGAGGGGAGGGAAAAAGGGTTTGCCTAGCCATAAGAGCATCTTCACAGCCTGACTCACAGGCGGTCACAAGCCCAGCGGGTGATGCAGAAGAAAGGATGGAGAGAAGCACAATCATAAGGGGGATATAGCTCCTGGGGATACATATGAGGGTGAACTGGAGAGAGAAAGGGTGACCATGGGGAACTAGAAAAGGTGCACCTGAGGGATGAGAGTGAGGCAGTAAAGAGAGAAGTGGAAAGGACAATGGGAGGAAGAGGAACATTTAAGGAGTGTGTATATCTGTGGATTCAAGATAACATCTGGGTTCCCAATTGTGTTTCAAGGCTCTAGATTCACACTTCAGCCATTCTGCTTCTTTGGTTCCTCGGGTTAGAAGCTTTGCACACATCCCTGCCTCATCCAAAAGCTGTCCTTCATTTTCCCCAAGGACAGGGCTGCTCTCCTCCCCTAGCGACCTTGATGTAGAGGTACAGCCTGATGGGGACTGTGAAATGGCCCCACCCCCACCTCCTTTCCTCTTTTCTGGGAGTCACCTGGGGAGTGATTGTGCCCTGGCTTTGCTACCTCAATTGCTCTGAGTATTCGCCTTGCCACACCCTGCGTTCAGCACCATGGACAGCGACCAGACCGGCTGTCAGGACCCCTGCCCTCTCCAGCTTGTCCTGCTGAACTAGGCAGGTGCTGGAGGTAGGGGCACAGGAGGGGAGAGAGCGGAGCTCGGCTGCTGCCTCAGGCTAACCCTTGGACTATGACATAATTTCCCAGATCCCCACCAAACAGGACGGAAAGAAGCAAGGGTTCCAAACTCGGGTAGTCCCTGTAGTCCAGGAGGGGTCCCAGGTTCCTAAAATGGGAAAGCCAGGTCTCTGGAGATCTCTGATGTGTGCTTGCCCCTTTGGCGCCCCAGCCTAACAAATCACCGAGGATCTCCGGCGGGGGATWCCCTACACAGGTATTCCCAGGCTAGGCTGAGGGAGGTGACTCTCCTGCCCCACCCAGAGACCCCCGGGCCGGAAATGAAGTGACCTCGGAGGGTGGGGCGGGCCTAGACCCCGAGTGGCTGCCCGCGGGGGATCCGCGTCTCCCGCCCTCCCGGCCGGGCCCCCAATACCGGAAGTCGCTGTAGGGGTGGATGATCCAGGCCCCCGCTGACTTCACCCTCTCCTGCTCGATTTCCACTGCTTTGTGGCTGCCGAATACCCGAAGAGAGAACTTGTTGACCGTGGGCTGCAGTAGCGTCCCGAGCTGCCTCCTCTTAGGCTCGGGAGCTGACCCGGGGATCGGACCTGAGGCCGCGGTCGCGGGAGTGGGAGCAGTGGGAGGCGCCGCCTCCAGCCCAGGGGTCGTCCCTTCGCCGGCCCCCGCCGCTGGCCGCTGCTCCGCCTCCATGACGACCGCCCGCTTACACCCTTGGCCTCCCACACCCCGCTGCGGCCATGCGGGCGCCCCCCGACCCCTCAGGAGTAGGAGCCGGCGTGGCCCCGCGGGCTGGCAGCGGAGGCGTCTCGGGCTCGGAACCGCTGGCGCGCGCGGCGGAGGGGGTGTGTGCGACAGACTGGCAGGCGGGCGGCGGGCGGGGTGGCGCTGCGCCCCCTGGCGAGGGCTGCGCGAAGACCCGGCCGAGCGGGCGGGGGTGGGACCAAGGATGCCCGCGTCCTGGGGGGACTCAGAGGTGGGTGTGGCTTAGCAATCCGAAAGCGGCCCTCCAAGGGTCGGAGCSGAAGGCGGCGAAGCACAGCCCGAGCCCAGGAGAGGGCGTGGCCTAGAGTTGACGGGCTTTTAGCCACTGAGAGTCCGGGAGGTGGAGCCGCCTGCAAGTGGCGGGAAAACCGGTCCTGGGTTTTGCGGGAAGGCGAAGGGTTGGGGGCCAATGGAAGAAGTGGGAAATGGCTTTTCAGGTTCTTCTTGCCCATCCTCCCCCGTGGGTCTCCAATCCTGATTCGTCTTCTCTCATCTTTCTCCTTACGCTTATTCCTGCTTTCTGAGCTCCTCCAAGCTGCTACCCCTAGAATATTTCCTGATTCTGCCAACCTTCACCAAATGCAACTCTTTAGGGACTCTCTTATACAAAGTCTTAGCCATACTATAAAGCCATGCTTATCTGGGCTCAAGGACAGATCAATGAACAGGTAAATTTCAGTGCTGTGATGTTAAGGGGTATAAATTCCTAAATATCTCAAATTCTTCCTTTCATATCTCTCTCTCTGGTGCTGGGGACTGAACCCAGGCATAGTAGGCTCTGCCTTTGAACTACATCCCCAACCCTGCCAGTCATTCTTCTAAAATCCAAATGTAGTTGTAAAGTCCTTCAAACTTCCCCATTTTAGGACTGCATTGAAGCTCTTTAGCCTAATTTACCAGGAACTGCAAAATTTGGACCTAGTTTCAACTCTCTCTTCTGATAGTCCCTATCTTGAAAGCCATGACTGCAATAATGCTGAAATGCATTGTTCTGCCTTGTCTCCAGGTCCTTGCAAGCATTTTCTCTGCCTGATATTCTCCTCCAATTCACTTTCCAACAGTTGAGATCTCATCTCTTTTAGGAAACCTAGAAACAGACTTCCAACTCCTTTCCCTAGAGTCTAGTCTAGAGATTTCTTACAGGAGTCAGGGCATCACTTTTTATAACAGCTCTTGTTACAAGGTTAACAATATAAGTTTATAAGACAGTTTCATCTCCATTATATGTTGAGATTCTGGAGTACTGGAGACTTGTGCCTGGTAAAAAGCTGGACATAGAGTGGACACCCATTAAGTGTTTGTTGAATGAATGAATGAATGAATGATCTAGGAAAGTGTGCAAGAGTGAAATCTTCACTCCTTTCCAATTCTTTCACTCCCCCTCTTTTCTATGTCACGGAATTTCTCCTATTTTTTAACCGATTTAATCTCCATCATCTCTGACGATCTTTCACCTAGCTTCACTCTGATATTCCCTGACTTGATTTCTCAAGTTATTTTGTTTCCCATCCAATTTTCCTTTCTGACCATTTCTCAATTCCTCTGCAGTGTCTCTAATTGTCCACTTTGCCTTAAAGTCTTTCTCCTGCCTGTTATTTTTTAAAGATTCAGTAAATTCATACTTCTTACATATTATGTAAAGCATATAAGAGTTTTCAAGTGATCTCCCCCGCTAACACGCCCCCCGCTTTTTTGGCACTGGGTTCTCCCCTTTCCTCCCCAGCCATGTACCTGCCCCACAAGTGCTTAACTTTCGTTCAGGACAAAAGATGGGAACCTCTCTGTGCTGGGGTTGGGTAGTGAAACTGCTATAAGAAATGGATATTTTTTTGGCTCTCACCGCCAAGTCTCACCAGAGTCAGGTCTGCCGAACAGCGACACCCTATAAATACAATCCTTTCAACCTCCCAAGCTAAATAAGTAAGTCACAGATGTGACGGGAAAGGACGGGAGTGCGGAGGAATAGGAGAGGACAGGAGGCGGGGCAGAGCGAACCAGGTACACGCCCAGCGCGCCCCGAGTCGCTCCCGGCTTCCAGGAACTTCCGCCTCCAGCACCTCCCGGGCTCTGACAGACCGACGCCCGCGAGCAGCCGAGCACGTGGTGGCGCGCGCCGCCCTGGGGGCGGAGCTGAGGGGGGTCGCTGGGAAGCGACGCAGGACGTGCGTGCGTGCGTGCTCGCTCACGGTGGCGGCGGCGGAGCGGAGAGGCCAGGGCCGGAGACCGAGCTGGGATCGGGCCCTGGGCGGGGGCGGTGCGAGCGGCGCCGAGCGGATCTTGGGGGCGGGGACGAACCGGGGCGGGCGGGACTGGAGCGGAGCCCGGGAACGGGGCGGGAGGTCCCAGGGTCCCGGGTTGGGGGGGTGGAGCCGCACTTCGTCGCCGCGGGGGTGCCGGGACTCCGGCCGCAGTGCCGCCGCCATCACGGACTTCCTGTGGGACAAGCGCACGGGCCTCGCCGCCAGAACGGTGAGCGTGCGGGTTGGCGGACCTCGGGGCCGCGCGGGAAGATGGCGACTGCGGGGCGGACTGGGGTAGGATTGGATTGGGGGCAAGGAACGGGGGCGAGATGAAGAGAAGAGGAGGGTTGCGATCTGCGAAGCGGTGCAGTAGGGAAATGGGAAAGGAGGTCGGCCGGTACCCGGAAAAACCTATGGGAAAGTTGGAAGGAGGCAAAGTAGGAGGAGTGATGGGGTAAGGATTGGAGTGGTTCCAGAGATGCAATAGAGCTTAATATCAAAGTTGGACCAACGGGTCCAATCGAAGCCAGAGAAGTATCACTTGAAGCATGCAGGAAGAGTTTCACTCTAGGAGTTAGTTATGGGTTTTATGAGTGAAAAGGTTTAGAAGCTTTGCGGGGGAAGGCCTGGGAGGGATTTTAATGGCAGTATTATGGGGTGAGATGGCATTTATGTAGCTATGCTAATCAAGGTTGGATTACCTGGGAGAAGCTTGTGCTTCCATCTTCTTGGTTTCCTGCCAGTCGCTTTAGGCCAAGAATGCATCAAATATCAACCTCCTCATTTTGAGGAGGTTGGCAAGAAGTGGCCCAGAATGGGAGCCAGATGTTGGAGTCCTTAAACCTTTTGCACACCTGATCCTCCCAGCCCCCACCCGACTTCTGTCCTTGGGCTGTTTTCATTCTGTTCTGCTATTGCCTTCCTGGATTTTGACAGTGATTCTTGATTTTTTTTTTCTTTTTTCCTTGAGAAAGAAAGGATTTTTGAATCATACCATTCCAATTTCATTAACTGGAAAGTGGCCATTCTCATCCAAGTAGTGCTGATATTAATTAAAAACAAGTTTTTGCCTACTTCTAAGCATAAGATGGGAGGGGCCAGATAGAAAACTGAATGTAATTTGGGCCTACTTTATTAAAACCTCTCACAAGGGATTTCACCAGAGATGTGATTAAGATAGTTCAAGGGGCCACATTCTTAGAACTTGGCAGTGTTTGGTGTTTAGGCTGTATATAGAGTTCTGGAAAATTGCATTCCTGCCCTTGGAACACTGATAGTCTAGTTGGTGAGATAAGATATACTTTTTTTTTTTTTTTTTAAGATTTAATGTCTGTAAAATATAACTGTAAACTAAAGTTTCATTCTGTTAACTTGTGAGGAACACAGGATCGCACACTTGTGTATTTTAGTCACAGCAGGAGTGGACTGTGGCAGTCTCCATCAGCTACACATTTACCTATAATAAGTCGTGGCTCAGACTTGAAGGTCTTTGTGGAGCTGTGAAGTAAATCAGGGTAGAGCATTTGAACTGAGGGGGCTTTCTAGAGTATTTTACCAAAATTAATAGGTGAATGTATCTTCCAAGAAGGACAAATTGTTAGGAAGATTAAGGAAGTTGTGAGTGTAAATAAAAGAAGATAGAATTAGGGGCTGGGCTTGTGGCTCAGCGGTAGAGCACTTCCCTAGCATGGGTGGGACCTGGGTTCGATTCTCAGCACCACATAAAAATAAAGGCATTGTGTTATGTCCATCTACACCTAAAAAAATAAATATATATAAAAAAAAGAAGAAGATAGAAATAACAAAAAACAGCATAACATCCTTGGAACAACCAATCCTTGGAGGAGACTTCTAAAAACCCAGAGCACTCCCTGTTATTTCCATTTTTCGATCCCTTTCAGATGCCTCATCCCCGAAGGTACCATTCCTCAGAGCGAGGTAGCAGGGGGAGTTACCATGAACACTATCGGAGCCGAAAACATAAGCGACGAAGAAGTCGTTCCTGGTCAAGTAGTAGTGACCGGACACGGCGACGCCGGCGGGAGGACAGCTACCATGTTCGTTCACGGAGGTGAAGCCTCAGGAGGAGAAACTGATTCCAGTTTACTTGCTTATTTGTTTGTTCAACAAATGTTTATTGATTACTTGCTAAGGGCATTGTGCTATAAGCAGCTGGCTGAAGGCGATGTTCAAGGTGGAGAAGAAGGGATAGAGGGAGTTTTGGCCTAGTGGTAGAGCTCTTACCTACCATAAGTGAGGCCATAAGTCTAATCCCCTGCACCGAACAACAGCAACATCAAAAAAAGATGGATAACAAAATGAGCCATTTGTACCACAATGTTAAGAGTATTATCCTGGCTGGGCACATGCCTGTAATCCCAGCAACTCGGGAGTCTGAGCAGGGGGATCACATGCTTGAAGCTGGCTTTGGTCACTTAGCAAGACCCCATCTCAAAATTTAAAAATAGAAAGGATTGGGGATATAGCTCAGTGGTAGATTGCTTGTCTAGTGTATGTAAGGGCCTGGGGTTCAATCCTCAGTACCACACACAGATCAAAAAGTGTTATTGTAGAGAAAGTACTAACTTGGTTGGGTACAGTTCAGCATACCTGTAATCGCAGGTATGAGGTGGAGGCAGGAGGATCATGGGTTGAAAGCCAGCCTCAGTAACTTAGCAAGGTGCTAAGC